GTCAAGGCTTGATACTTATGTTTAATTAATATGCCATCTAGAATTCTTCTTGTTACTCCGATCATTCTCTCCCATGATCCTCCCATGTGAGAGGCATGTGGAGGATTTAAATGCCACTCAGCATTGTTCTTAAGCAAATACGTTTGGACTGTATCATCTCCAATTGCACCAATGAAATTAGACCCCTGATCAGATCTAAATACCTTAACTGCTCCTCTGATGGCTATTAGTCGCTTCATCGCATTTATAAATGAAGAACTACTCATCGTCTCAATTACTTCAATGTGGATGGCTCTTGAGGTAAGGCACGAAAACATCACAGCCCACCGTTTATTTAAAGCTACTCCTCCTCTCGTTCTTCTGGCTGTCACTTCCCACGGCCCGAAACGATCGACCCCTACACTGGTGAAAGGTGGGACACATGTAATCCTATCACTGGGTAAATCAGCCATACGCTGGATACTGAGCTTTCCTCTTAACTTTCTGCAGGTTACGCAATGATGGATGATAGACGATACGATAGACTACCCAATACCCAGCTTCTCTCACTGCTCCTTCAGTAAACTGTCTGCCCTGGTGATATATATTATGGTGGAAGTGTCTTACTAGTAAAGTTGCAATGTGACACTTACCCGGTACGACAATAGGGTGCTTCATGATAATTGGAAGAGTCGCCTTCCTAAGTCGCCCACCAACACAGATTAACCCATCTTCATTAAGCATGGGAGCCAGTGATAGTATTGATGAGTCGTTGGGTAGCGGTTTGCTGCTTTTCAGGCTTCTCAGTTCTCGTTGATAGAATTTTTCTTGATAAGAGACAGTCTCTGCTCTCTGTTTTAGAGCTATATCATTCAGACGGCAATGGTGCCACCCTTTGCAATGATCATCGTTATTTTTGTAGTGGAATGAACAAGCCACATGTATAAGTAGAGTAATGGGCCTAATCAAGCTTTCCCAAGATGAAAACTTGTTGGCTCTTTCCAAAAGGCAAAATTCATGTACATTTGTCTTCATAACAATCACTTTGTCCTCTTGTCTGAGTTCTTTATCCTGTTGAGGACTTACCAAGCGAAACCATTCTGGTACATCTACATTGAATACTGAACAATGAGGACCTTTAAGCCATGGACAATCTTTCATGTTTCGTGCAGCTACCTGGCATGTCCCATGGTCCGCAGGGTTCTTGCTTGTATGAACGTACTTCCATTGATGGGGATCAGAAAATTGCAAGATTTTAAACACCCTGTTTGCTACGTATGTATGAAAACGCCTAGTTGTGTTGTTTTATTATTATTATTATTATTTATTCTTTCTTTATACTGCAGGCACTTTCAGTACTAGTGCACTGATTTTCAAAGTGGTACAGTAGATATCTTAAAAACAGGATACTATAAAAGGAATCAAATTTATAAATAAAAAATATAAACAAACATAAAAACAAAAATCAGTCATAGAGAAAATTCAATGCAAATCTTGTGTAATAAGGAAATTTTTAAATGTATGAATTGACATTTCTTTAAAGTTAATTTTTAGTTCATTTGGAAGTTCATTCCAGCTTTTGGATGAACGGTAAGTAAAGGTTCTTTTGCCATGGGAAATATTCCAAGTGGGGACAACTAAATTGTTATGGGTTTGGCTACGTGTGCCTTGAGAATGGGTAGTATTATTAAAGGTAAATTTTGAGGATAAATATGGTATCCTAAGACTACCTTGCTGTCCGAATGATAGGTCACCTCCTGAGAAGGTATATCGACTTCAGCACAGATTACTTTTGCTATCTCTATAGCCAATACGGCTGCACACAGCTCCAGTCTAGGGATTGTGTGTCCCGCTTTTGGTGCTAACCTCGACTTACCAAAGACAAAACCTGTGTGTCTCTGTTCACCCTCTTTACTGAACAAGTAGGCTACGGCGGCAACTGCTACGTCCGATGCGTCGCAAAACACATGAAGTCCAACCATTTCACCAAAGGTAAGTGGGTACGCACGTGGTACTGAAACGTTTTGTAGTTCTTTTAAATCATTTTTCCAAGATTTCCATTCTTGAAGGTAACAACCTGGCAACTCTTCATCATTCTTCAATGGAGGAGCAACTTCTGCATGCCCTTTATTGATAACTCCATCCATGAAATCAAGCATGTGTTGTTTTTTAAGAGGATTTCTGTCCATGCTTTTCCTGAGTATTTGAGCTCGCGACCATGCTTGCTCTCTATTATTTGGGAGACGTTCTCTTGGCTTCTTGAAAGGCAGCGGTGCTGTCCACTTGTCATCCCGAAGTCCGCCTTCCTTCTCCATGATTTCAAGAAACTTTCTTTCTTCAACTGATAGACTGCGGAAATCAACTTTGTCATCAAATAATGTATGGATTTGAAATGTATTCGGACACGGTTGTAAAGTTGTGGGCCTACCAGTTATGAGTACCTGTGTGCGAAGTGTAGAGATAGTTTTTGGCCTATGAACTCCATTAAGACAAACTTCTCCAACAACTACCCATCCCAGATCCAGCCTCTGAGCCCATGGTGCTTTGTTGGGCCCATTGCATGTCTCTCTAACCTTATGTACTTGCGGGACATCACGTCCTAACAACAGCAGCACATTACTACCCTTATTCAAAGGTGTGATCTGTCCTGCTATGGACTTCAAGTGAGGAAAGGCCATCGCTACCTCAGGTATAGCAATCTCCGACATATTTCCTGGGATTTCCGCACATTCTAGCAAGCTTGGTGCTTCTATCTTGGTCGCCCCATCAAGAGATTCTACAATAAGACCACTCAGATTTCTTCCCTTGGTTTCTCTTTCCCCATTACATGTCTTCATGGTGTAGTTTGACCATTCTCCAGAAACTCCCAACATATCAAAGATTCTGGTATCTGCTAATGATTTGTTGCTCTGATCATCAATGAGTATATAAACTTTGACTCTCTTGTTAGGATTCTTTGCCATGTACACAGTGGCCAAACATATTTTCGCACATGAACGTCCTACTCAATCTCTGCATATTTCCATACAGCTGCTGGTCACAGGTTTTGTAGTAGCAGTGGTATTTGCTTGTGCTGGAATTTGAGTTGTCTGTTGTTCACGATTATGGATATGCATCACTCCTAGGTGTCGGGGGCTACTGCAAACTCCACACTTGATCTCGGCTTTACACTCCCTTGCGAAATGAGTCATAGATGCCAGACATCTGAAACACACCTTGTGCTTCTTTATAAACTGCTTTCTTTCAGCATCGGACTTTGATAGGAATGTTCTGCATTTTATAAACGGATGCGATCCTTGATGGATGGGGCACATGAAGACAACTTCTCCATTGACACCGCTTTCTACAGTAGTTTGCCTTACGATGACCGTCGTACGTTTAGGCTTCACTTCCATTCTCAGAGTTTCCATTCCTGTGGCTGTCCTTCCTACAGCTCCAAAAATTGGGTCATTGACCTTCTTAGCTTCCTTTTGCACAAATTTTACAAAGTCCCTGAATAGGACAGGCTTCTTGTTTTCCTTTAGGTTCAATGCTATATTCCGCCATCTGTCATGTAGGTAGACTGGTAGTTTGAACATTAACCTCTTCAAGTGTTCGGGATACTCCAAAATTTTGCTTGCATTTACATGCTCTGCAGCATTCATGCATTCTACTAGGAAAGGCATATTCATCTAGAGCCTTTGGTTCTCCTGGCCTAATAGTAGGCCATTCTAATGCTTTCTTTATGTAAGTGCTTGCGATGACTTCGTTGTCACCATATCTGTCTGAAAGTTGATCCATAGCCGCTTGATAGGCTTTTTCACTGGGAAGATGACTGAAACCACAAACAACCTTGTTGGCCTCCAAATATGTCATTCTCTCTTCACTAGTATCAGTATTTGATACTATTCTACTTTTGAATTGCCTGATAAATTTAGGAAAATCGATGGGGTTTCCAGAAAATCGTTTAACTTCATGTTTTGGCTTCTTCATATTTTTCACGATCTCACTTAATCCAATGCAAGTTTCATTGGATGATGGATTAATCTGCTTTTTGACATACTCCATTGGTGAGGGATTAATTCCTCCGCAATCAGCTACTGAGCATTCTGGTGTGACATCCAATGCTGGCATTGGTGTTGGTATTATATTATTGCTGTTAGGCAATGCCATTACGTACTCAGACACTCTCTTTGTAGGCTCTTCTGCTGGCAGGCTACGTAACTCAGTTCCACTATGACTTTTAATCTCGTCGTCAAGCACTGATGCCCTAGCCTCGGCTGCTGCCAGGGATTCCTCTCGCTGTAGGCGTTCCAATTCCAATTGCGCTTTTAACGCCTCTATTTTTGCTTCTGCCTTTTTCTTTGCAAAAGCTGTCCGTGCAGCTTCCATCGCTGCATCAGCACGGGCTTGTGCCGCTGTCAGTTCAAGTTGACTCAGTTTACTAGTTGTGCTCGACATCTTCCGTAGTAGATCTCGTATACAGCTTTTTACTATAAAGGACGCAAATGACTGACTCAAAATTGCTCCTCTAGTATAACCCTTTTATTGCTTGTTCACAAACCCTGTTTGATTACTCACATTTGTTTGCGTGGTAACTGTAAATAACAATAAAATTACATACTGTATCATCATGTCATTAATC